CCAACATTGGCGTCTCTTATGTTCTTATGTTCTTATGAGCATGACATGTTGAGGACAGCTTGGTGTTAACGAAAATAATTTTTTTTGGGGGGGGGAATCTACCCACTCAAGCACGAGCTCTTGGTACCGGCTGAAAAATGCCCTTGTTCATCCATGCTTTCTGCTGATTAGTTTTTTCAATTAACGTTCATCCAGGCTGCTAATATGTATTTTATGCTGATACTTATAAAATCATATTATTTAAAATGATCTGTAAGCTGCCTTTGGTGAAGACGGGTGGGATGGAATCATATTAAAATCATATTATTTAAAATGATCTGTAAGCTGCCTTTGGTGAAGACGGTGGGATGGAAATTACTAAAATATTAGATAAATTTGTTTGTAATTTTTCAACATAAACATTCAAAAGTATTTAGCATTGCAATAGCACAATTAAATAACTGACTTTTTGCTGCTGCCCATGCTCAAAAATGTAAGCCTTAAGAGGTTTTTTTATTCATTTTTATTCATTTGAGAAGACCCACTAAAGGCAAAGGGGATTATCCACAGTAATGGGTTTCAGCCCCACTGTATTTTCGTATGCTCTGTATAACATCAGAATTTGGCCTACTTGTATAGATTGGACAAAAATTCCAATATTATAGCACATTCTACAGAACGACTGTTTAGCAGACGAATATCTATTCATTACCAACATGAGGGTTTAACTTTAAACTGGATCGCTGCAGATTAACCGAAGTCCTGATGCCGTGCTGGTGGTGACCCAACTGCGGTGAAAAGAGTTTGTTTGCCTTAGTCTGAGCAGCCTTTGTCAGAAAGTATCACCTTCCCTTCTATTAGATCTCTCACAGTAAAATAGACTAGAGGGTCCATTTTCCAGTGCTTCCCCACAAGACTGTTAATAGAATAGTTAATGCTCTTACATCATTGCCCCTGGCGAGATTATTTGGCTGCAGCAGCAACACAATAAGGAGGTGCCACACAAAAGATCAAAATGATTCCAGCTTGTTTGGCAGATTCAAAAGGGCCTGTGATGCTCTAGACACAAGAGCATTCATTTAGCGCGACAGAATGGCCGCCGCATTTGCATCAAGGTAGATCAAAGGCAGCTGAATGCCTACAATATTTACATAAGGATAGGGGAGAGGCGATGGGAACCCAACTGTTGAGTCCTAGCCATACTTATTCAGCCAGGGAATAAGGATATTTTCAGGGGTAACGGAAGGGTTTTCTTCTAATAGAAGAAGAAGAGATTGGATTTATACCCCGCCCTTCACTACCCAAAGGTGTTTCAGCGCGGCTTACAAACTCCTTTCCCGTCCCCACCCCACAACAGACACCCTGTGAGGTAGGTGGGGCGGAGAGAGCTCTTGACAGAAACGTCTTTTTCAGAAACAGCTGTGCCAGAGCTTGTGACTGACCCAAGGTCACATCAGCAGGTGCAAGTGGAGGAGTGGGGAATCAAACCCAGTTCTCCCAGATTAGAGTCCGCACACTTAACCACTACACCAAACTGGCTCTCGACTATATGTATATATATATATGTATATATATATATATAGCTTATAGCAAGGGCATTAAGAACATAAGAAACAGCAATGTTGGATCAGGCCAAAGGCCCATCCAGTCCAACACTCTGGGTCACACAATGGCCAGAAATACCAGGGGCCATCAAGAGGTCCACCAGTGGGGCCAGGACATTAGAAGCCCTCCCACCGTTGACCCCCCCCAAGCACCAAGAAGACAGAGCATCACTTGCCCCAGAGCCCCTATCTATACCTTGTGGCTAATAGCCACTGATGGACCTCTGCTCCATATAAGAACATAAGAGACGCCAATGTTGGATCAGGCCAAAGGCCCATCCAGTCCAACACCCTGTGTCACACAGTGGCCAAAAATACCAGGTGCTATCAGGAGGTCCAGCAGTGGGGCCAAGACACTAGAAGTCCTCCCACTGATGCCCCCCCCCAAGCACCAAGATGACAGAGCATCCCTTGCCCCAGAGTCCCTATCTATACCTTGTGGCTCATAGCCACTGATGGACCTCTGCTCCATATGCTTATCTAATTCCCTTTTGAAGCTGTCCATGCTTGCAGCCGCCACCACTTCCTGTTCAGGGCCATAAGTCCGCATAGAAGGACTTTGGAAAGGAGTTGCTAACTATGGAACTGGCCGTCAGAATTAACTTGCTTTCTTGAAATGAAAGGGCACCCGTTAGGCAAACGAGAAGCATATTTGCAATATATATTTTATGGAGTCTATATTCTGAAGTGATTTACAGACTTGTGCTTCCCATTTAAAGGTAGTACCGCCTCATCACATGCCGGCTTTAGCCATCGGCTTTTCCTCTTCCTCTCAGGCTTTAGGCAGGCTGCCTCCCGTTAAAAAACTATTAGGACAGGACATTCCAAACATGTGTTCACACTTAACTGGACTGGAAGGTAGCTAATGTCACTCCCATCTTTAAAAAGGGTTCCAGAGGCGATCCGGGAAATTACAGGCCAGTCAGTCTGACGTCGATACCGGGTAAATCGGTGGAAACCATTATTAAGGAAAGAATTAGTAGGCACATAGATGAACAAAACCTATTGAGGCAGACTCAACATGGGTTCTGTAAGGGAAGATCTTGTCTCACTAACCTGTTAATGTTCTTTGAGGGGGTGAACAAACATGTGGACAAGGGGGATCCAATAGATATTGTTTACCTTGACTTCCAGAAAGCTTTTGATAAAGTTCCTCATCAAAGGCTCAGAAATCATGGGATAAAAGGACAAGTCCTTTTATGGATCAAAAACTGGCTAATTAATAGAAAACAGAGAGTGAGTATAAATGGGCAGTTCTCCCAGTGGAGGGGGGTAAGCAGTGGGGTACCACAGGGATCAGTACTTGGTCCACTGCTTTTTAACTTGTTCATTAATGATTTGGAGTTGGGAGTAAGCAGTGAAGTGGCTAAATTTGCGGATGATACGAAGTTGTTCAGGGTGGTGAAAACCAGTGAGGATTGTGAGGCACTCCAAAGGGATCTGTCAAAGATGGGCAAGTGGGCGTCAACATGGCAAATGGGGTTCAATGTGGCCAAGTGCAAGGTGATGCACATTGGAGCCAAAAATCCTAAATATAAATACACATTGATGGGGTCTGAACTGGCAGAGACAGATCAAGAGAGAGATCTTGGAGTTGTAGTAGATAACTCACTGAAAATGTCGAGACAGTGTGTGACTGCAATAAAGAAGGCCAATGCTATGCTGGGGATTATTAGGAAGGGTATTGTAAACAGATCAGCCAATATCATAATGCCGCTATATAAATCAATGGTGCGACCTCATCTGGAATACTGTGTGCAATTCTGGTCACCATACCTTAAAAAGGATATTATAGCTTTGGAAAAAGTGCAGAAAAGGGCAACTCGAATGATAAAAGGGTTGGAACACTTTCCCTATGAGGAAAGGTTAAGGCGCTTGGGGCTCTTTAGCTTGGAGAAATGACGACTGAGGGGTGACATGATTGAGGTTTATAAGATTATGCATGGGAAAGAGCAGGTAGAGAAAGAAGTACTTTTCTCCCTCTCTCACAATACAAGAACTCGTGGGCACTCCATGAAATTGCTGAGCGGTCGGGTTAGAACAGATAAAAGAAAGTACTTCTTCACCCAAAGAGTGATTAACACTTGGAATTCACTGCCACAGGAAGCGGTGGCGGCTACAAACATGGACGGCTTCAAAAGGGAATTAGATAAGCATATGGAGCAGAGGTCCATCAGTGGCTATTAGCCACAAGGTATAGATAGGGACTCTGGGGCAAGTGATGCTCTGTCATCTTGGTGCTTTGGGGGGTCAACAATGGGATGGCTTCAAATGTCCTGGCCCCACTGGTGGACCTCCTGATGGCACTGGTATTTCTGGCCACTGTGTGATGCAGAGTGTTGGACTGGATGGGCCTTTGGCCTGATCCAACATTGGCATCTCTTATGTTCTTATGTTAACCTTATTAACAATAAAACAACTACAAAACTGCTCTGCAATGGGGGAGGTTTGGTAATGTCACAAGCACCAGCCCAGAAGCACCCTTTACAGCCATCCTTTCCCCCAGCTGAAACTGAACCATGCTGGAAATGTGTGTGGATATCGTTTAGGAAGCTAACTTTAGTACCTAAAGGGGACATGTGTGTTGAGTGTGTCCAACTCCTCCTCTGTGCGGTGTTCTTGCTAAACTGCGCTAGCATGTGCAGGTGCACACATTTTTAGCTCTTAGTGCACAGATGTTTTGCTCATTGCATGGGCTTCCCTGGAGGATCCACTGTGATAAAAGCATCCCCCTCCTCCTCTAAAGATCAGGCTTCATTTGAAACAGGAGTTATCACTGATAACTTATGGTAGTAATCTTCTAAAAAACTAATTCATGTGATAGTCAAATGTAGGCTCGCTCACAACTTTACTGCTAGTAGCTGTTTTGGCTCATGAAGTCATGGGACCAATTTGTTATGGCCAAGATATCAGACTTTATTCAAAGATCACAAACAACTTCTATACCAACTTACTCCGAATTTGTTCATTGTTCGTATATGGGCACCTGTACTAAGCTTCATGTCAGCGCAGGATTTGCTTCCCTCGAATCCGATTTACCATAATTGGTTTCATCTGTAAAGCATTCCTGAATCTGACCAATTGTTGAGAATTCTGCCCAATGACCAGAGCCTATTTATTTGAGGAACACTTTCTTTCTGGGTTCTACTGTATTTCTTGTCTTGTTGATAGTTTTCATTTTGTGAGTTTTGTGGTCAAATGTTATGACTTTTGGTTTATTCTACTATAATTGTTTAATTGCAATATCCTTCTTCTCATACCTAAAGTACTAAAAAAATTTTTTTAAGTCAACTTTTTGCTCACAACACTCCACAGCACAGAGAATATTGCCTCTGCCATCTGTTCCCCAAGTCCATCGAGATATGTCTTGAGCACAATCACAGGAACATTGATATAAATATTTGTTTTGTTTTATAGAGATGAAAACCAAAAAGGAAAGATAGCTGTGATAAAGTCAAAAGGTGAGTAAAAATGGTGACAGATGCAAACTATGATTGCCCCCCCCCCCTTTTAAATGGTAAGACTTTCTCCATGCCGGGGTCCTGTATCATGGTGCCTGCCAGTACTTCCCCTGGTGGCAGCCCAGCTTTTCAGAAAGTGGGCGGGGCCATTGCTATGCAGGGCTTGTTATCGGCTGCCTTAATTCAAATGAAAGTGTTTTGCACTGCATAATCAGCCACAACCACTGTAGGAATCAGGAGGACTAATAAGTACTTGTAATGCTCCTTAGTCATTGTGTGGTTCCATATCCCCTTCAGCCTTTCCTTCTTTTTATATCCCCCTTTTCTTTCTACCTCCCTTCCCTCAGGCTTGTCTTCATTTCTCCTCCTGCAGTCCTCTGGCAAAGAGAGAGGGTGGTACTGCATTTGGCCCTGCCTCTTGTACCAGCCGTTTCGGAGTGACGTTCACCTCCCACTCTCAAAATTCAAAAGGCGCCCCCCCCCCCGGCTCAAAAAGGTTGGGGACCCCTGCTCCCTGCCATGCATGTTTTGTGAACCTCAGCCAAGTCTGTCTCTGGTTGTCTCTCCTCCATCTCCAAAGCATTATGGCCTTTTCTCATATGGAAGACGCTCCAGCCCATTCGTCATTTTGATGGCCCTTTTCTATACTTCTTCAATTTCTACATTTTTTTAAAAAAACAAAGCAATGGGGTGATCAAACGTGGCCATAACACACATATTCTGGGAGGAGGTCCTGGGTATCATAAGGGATATCACTGCGTTAGACTTACCAGTATGCCCTAAATTGGTGCTCTTTGACAGATTGGAGATACTTACGGCATCCAGGGTCCAAAAAGAGCTTATTTCAAAGCTTCTAGCGGCCGCACGTATAACTATAGCAGCGGTATGGAAAGCCGACTCTCCCCCTCAACTCCAGATGTGGTATGATAAAATATGGGACCTATTTATCTTAGATAAGTTGACACAGGTCACTCAAGTTAGCAGAACAAACACATCGCAGGCTCATGATAGATTTGTGGCGGTTTGGTTTGGGGTGTTGCAATACATGTCAGAGAAGGAAATATTCCCCTCAAATGCCGCTTACGCTCCATGGATACGCTTTTAGGTGACTATCAGTTCATACCGGAAGAGGTAGCACTTTAGAACGATCACCATTGGGGTTGCGGGCTCAACTGTCTCTTTAAGTAGGTTGCAGGGCAGAGGAGGACAAGTAGGGTTGCTGTGTCAAGACTCAATGTGAAACGGGAATGCTGATCTGGCTCACCTCTCGCTGTAAAGAAGGCAGTTTATGACTTGTATGTTTCAGTTGTTGGACTTTGGTGTTTTATCAATAAAAGGAAAAATTTTTTAAAAAAAGAAATGAATAAGTGTTGGGTGTTACAAGTTAAAACACTTTCCAGTATTTACTGGGTTAATGATGTTTGTTAAGTCACATGTTTGTTTGTAACCAATCTGTTTTAAACAGTTAGAAAGCCCTGGAAGTTCAGATCTAGTTTGTTGTTCTGATTGGAGGCCAAATTGCCAGGTATTAGCATTTTATGGCTTCTCTTCCTGTCTTGTGGTTCTTTGTTCTGGGCAAGAAGAAGAAGCCTCTCTTCTGCCATTTTCAGTCTAGCTGTAAGGATGTAGGAATATTAGCTCTTTGTTATTTTACATCCTGTGTACCTTTTCCCCATGCTAGGTTGTAGTAAACCTTTATTCTTTTAAACACACACACAAAAAAAACAAAAACGTGGCCATAACATGGTGGTTTTGGAAAGGGCCATCAAGCCATAGCTGACTTACGGTGACCCTGTAGGGCAGGGTTGTCGAACTCATTTGTTACAAGGGCCGGATCTGACATAAATGTCACTTTGTCGGGCGGGGCCATGTGTGCTATACGATGTAATGCCAGGTATACCGGAGATATAAACTTTATAAAGGACACAGGCAAACCCAATTAACAATATTATTTTTTTTTACTCAAAATACAAACAAAAGGAATTGATTCCTAGTAGTCAAAGCAATTGATTTACTGGAGAACCCACAAAAGCCCCAATAAATTTATTTATTTTTTAAAAAACAATTTTATTGTACAGATATAATAAGCAAATTAAATTTTTCACAACATTTCAATCTTTTTATATCCATTTTCGAATATCTCCCCACCCCCCGTTACATGGCTTCCCACAGTGCGTTATCCCCCTTAAATTTTCATCTTAATCTTTAATTCTATATTTTATCATATTACAAACTAATCTTTCAGGTAACATTACTTAAATTCATCATTTCAATACTTTTTTTTTTTTTGGATCCATTCTAATAACTATCAAAACTTATTAAAGTATTTTTAACATTCCATTTCACTTCTACATATTCTTTAAAATCTTTCCACTCTTCATAGAATTCTTCATCTTCCTTGCCGTTAAGTTTCTTTGTCAATTTGTCCCATTTCAGCCATAAAGAGCTTTTTTTTTAATCCAGTCCCATATTTCTGGTACCAGCCCCAATAAATTTATTTAATCATATGAAAGACAAGGGTTTCCCCCCCCCAAGGGATATCATAAAAGGGAGAGTGCCTTACATTTCCATACACACCAGTTGCTTGTGGGCTGGGTAAGAGCCGTGGACGGGCCAGTTCTGGGCCCCGGGCCTTATGTTTGACACCCCTGCTGTGGGGATTTCTTTTTTTTTTTTTGGTAAAAGAATTTTTTTATTTTCATGGAAATAACCTCTTACAGTTAAAAAAAACTATTATCATTCTTAAACCAATACCTATATTCCCATATCCCCCCTCCCTCCTGGTGGCTTCCCGCAATGTTTCCCCCTTTGACCCTCCAGTACATCTTAAGATAACATCAATTAATCTCAATATTGTTCTAAACATAGTAAATTGTGCTTCACATCCCAGTTTTTTTCTAGGTAAAGTTTAAAGTCATTCCATTCTTCAAAAAAGTCAAGATCTTCCCTGTTATTCAGTTTCTTCGTAATTTTGTCCATCTCTGCCATGAACAGAATTTTTCGTATCCATTCTATTTTTCCCCCAAGGGATACCATAAAAGGGAGAGTGCCTTACATTTCCATACATACCAGCGCGCTTGTGGGCTGGGTAAGAGCTGTGGACGGGCCAGTTCTGGCCCCCGGGCCTTATGTCTGACACCCCTGCTGTGAGGTTTTCAAGACAAGAAATGTATAGAGGTGGTTTGTCATTGCCTGCCTCTGTACAGTAACCCTGGGACTCCTTGGTTCTGATGAGACCAGGCTAGCCTGACACATTCGGGTCAAGGGTGGCCATTCCGTAGGCTTATATAAATGCCTAAGTTTGATCTTCACTCCCTTGCCAAATAATCCCTAGTGTGGAATTTTCCTTTTTCACTCCCGCTGTATCCTGTTTCATTCAGGCCCCATCACTGTTTACGTGAAGGCTGACTTAACCCCGCCCACACTCTGGCCCTTACCCAAATTGGGCACATTGTTAAGCCTGATGTGGCCCTGAGAACAACCTGCAGTGTACGATTTTGAACTATTAATAGCCACGGTTGTGAATAACTATCAGTTTCATAGATGTTTCCCCCCCCTCCTTTTCTAATGCAGCCTTTTGGGGCGATTCGGACGACAGCAATTCTGATATTGAAGCAGCTCTGCGTCCTCAAGCACACAGTTCACGTGAAGATGATTTTAGTGACTTCTACGACTGAGGAGCAACAGCTGCTGTGCATACATGTGACAAAAACCTCTCTGCTCAAAAGTGCTCCTCTAAGTGGCATCTCCCCCCCCCCATCCAGAGTTCCAAACACTTATTTGCAGATGGTTGTCATGTGTAGTCCCGTGGTGAGGAACTTCAGATTGGACTCCTGCTCTAATAAAATGTTTGAAAGCCACTACAAGGAAGTAAGCCTGGAGCAGGGAAAAAGGTTAAGTACTCTTTTCCTCTTCAGCTCCTCCTCGCTCCCTTTGCAAATGGCTTTTGATTTAAAGGGGTCACCGGATGATTGCTACGTGTGTTTGCATGGAATGTGTAACTTGGCCTTGACTTCACTAGCCGTTTGGATATGGGAGTCAACAGTTTCACCGATCATACACTTGTGTGTGCCTCAGCCAATATTTCCGTCTACAGAACATTGTCTTGCAGTGGACTTCTTGCTGTTTTGTTTCTTCGTTAATAAAATCTTGCGTTTGGAAGCCTACTTGAAGAAATTTCTGTTACTATCATATATTTCAAGTGCTGCCCCAAGGTGGCCTCTGTTCACACTTTGAAATCTGTATGGATTGTTAATGAAAACTGCAGCTTAGAAACAGTTGTAAGCAGTGTTCCCTCTAAGCTGAGTTTTTTTTGTTTGGTTTTTTTTTTGTTTTTTTAATAGTGGAAAGGAAACAGTTTTCGAGTAAGCTGAGTTAGTGTGAGCTAGGTCACAGTTTTTAAGCCTCTGGCTCACACATTTTTGTCTTACCTCAGGAAGGATGGCTCCAGAGCCAGTTTGGTGTAGTGGTTAAGTGTGCAGACCCTAATCTGGGAGAACCGGGTTTGATTCCCCACTCCTCCACTTGCACCTGGCTGGATGACCTTGGGCAAGCCATAGTTCTGATAAGAGCTGTCTTTGAAATAAAAAAGAGCAGTATCTCTCAAGAGCTCTCTCAGCCCCACCTACCTCACAGGCAGTGTTCCCTCTAAGCTGAGTTAGTGTGAGCTAGCTCACAGTTTTTTAGCCTCCAGCTCAGAGATTTTTGTCTTAACCCGAGAAGGACGGCTCCGGAGCAAACTAATTTATGCAGCAGCCAAATCGCTCGCTCACAACTTTAATGCCCCTAGCTCACAAAGGAGAACTTTTGCTCACAAGACTCCATAGTTTAGAGGGAACATTGCTCACAGGGTGCCTGTTGTGGGGAGGGGAACGGAAAGGAGTTTGTAAGCCGTTCTGAAACTCTGAGTGAAGGGCGGGGTATAAATCCCATCTCCTCTTCTCCTCCTCTCCTCCAGAGCAAGCTGATTTATGCAGCAGCCAATTAGCTCGCTCACAACTTCAATGCCAGGAGCTCACAAAGTAGCATTTCTGCTCACAAGACTCCACAGCTGAGAGGGAGCATTGGTTGTAAGAATGTAATGTGAAGAGGCAGCCACAAGAATAATAGAGTTCTACTCCACTCACTGCACCCAGAAATAAACTGAGGACTTGTAACTCCAGTGCTCTCCCTGGGTTCTTCAGAAAGGGCTGCAGATAAGAGAATGTGGTAGATGTCAGAGGACGGAAGGAGAGCAAACCTACTCGGGGATTTTTCTGCTACCGCCAACAGGCATACAAAAAAAAATCTTTATTCTTGCCCCCACCCTCCAGCCCAGAAGTAGCAAGGACAGAGATGTAAAATTTCGGGAAATTTTGAAGCTCGGAAAAAACCCCTGGAAAAATTGAAAAAAATGCCACATTAGCATTTCTTTTGTCTTTTCTAGATTGAAAGTCATTCTGTTACTTTAGGAACATAAAATATGACTATGGACATTTTTACTTGGCATGAAATTATCACAACTAGCATATTAAAAATATAGTGTATTCCAAACAATTATTACAGAATACCCACCCACATGCAAAAACAAAACTGAAACTTTTTTATTTTCTTCTGACAATCACGCCTCCTAAAGGAAGAAATGCATCTTGTTCTTGCATTGCAGAGTTCAGTTTGTAACCTAGGACTTGCTTGTCCTCAGTGCACAGAAATTAGATCAATCTGATACCATATATATATATATATATTTTAGAAATGATTTGGAAAATATTTGAACACCTTGTCTTAAAATATTTTATTCATCATGTTAAAATAAAACGTTCCGTAATCAATTTTTTTCTTTTCTTTTTTCAATTTTTCCAATTTTTCGGGAAAAAAAGATTTCAGGAAAAAAACCCGGTTTTCCCCCGAATTTTTCCGGGCCTTCACATCTCTAGGCAAGGATGAGGTTGACCAAAGCTAAAGAATAACGGGACGTAGGCCTGGGGGAAACTTGGGAGTGCCCATAGGTGGATCCACACTCCTTTTCCCCTTAGAGACACACAGTGCAGTCCTAAGAACAGCTACACACTTCTAGAACCCTTTGATATCAGTGGACGTAAAAGGGTGGGACCAGGGCTCTTTTTGTAGAAAAAGCCCAGCAGGAACTCATTAGCATAATAGGCCACACCCAACAGCAGAAACCCATTAGCATATTAGGCCACACCCCTGAAAGCACAACTCATTGGCATATTAGGCCGCACCCCCACGTTACCAGAAGTGTGGTCATCCAGCCACACCCACCTTTTGCTTCTTATTCTGTTTACCTTGTTTGTGGTCAAAACCCAGGGCCTTTTTTTGTAGCAGGAACTCCTTTGCATGTTAGGCCACACACCCCTAATGTAGCCAGTCCTAATGCGTTTCTGCTGTTGGGTGTGGCCTATTATGCTAATGAGCTCCTGCTGGGCGTGGCCAACTTGGAAGCCAGCCGGAACTCCGTTCTTGTGTGTTCCTGCCCAAAAACAGCCCTGGGTGTAACTCTGCTTAGGATTGCCCTGGCCTGACAGTCTTCTAAATCTCTGAGCCATGATGAAGAAGAGGTCCACAAGGCAGGAGGTGTGAAAGGCCTGTGGAGTGGGGTTTCGGCCACCGAGAGAGGTCGCCTGTTCTGCCTGATTCTGCTCTTTGCCCTTCCTTGCTGAAGCCTCCATAAGGAGGCTGCTTCTGTATCCGGAAAGAAAGGCGTTTATTCCGTTCACTGACAGTGCAGCCCTAAGAGAAGTTACACCACTGTAAGTCATTTGAAATCAATGGACTTAAAAGGGTTACCTCTGTTTAGGATTGCATTCTGTGCAGGATTGCACTGTGTTTTCTATCCTTGTTGAGTAATGAGTTATTACAAGGTATGTTGTGGATGCAGAGGAAGCAGAGCAGGTCCATCCAGCCCCTTTGCTTGGCTTTGCCTGAAACTCGCTAGATTTTCTTTGCTAAGACTCACAGGTATGATCCTGAGACATTTTGTGCTATCATTATCTGTGCCAGTTTGGTGTAGTGGTTAGGAGTGTGGACTCTAATCTGGGAGAACTGGGTTTGATTCCCCACTCCTCCACATGCAGCTGCTGGTGTGACCTTGGATCAGTCACAAGTTCTCTCAGAGCTGTTCTGGAAAGAGCAGTTCTCAAAAGAGCTCTCTCAGCCCCTCACAGGGTGTCTGTTGTGTGGAGGGGAAGGAAAGGGAGATCGTAAGCCGCTCTGAGACTCCTTCCGCTAGTGAAGGGCAGGGTATAGATCCCATCTCTTCTTCTTCTGCTAGTGCCTTGTAGAACTTTCTATTTTTCAGATTGGGGCCCATAGTATTAAAATCTGGTTCATACATGAAGAGGTGGTAGAATGAACTGTACATTTCAGACAGCAGGTGGTTGATTCCATTTTTGAATGTTCCTTTGGATTAAAAATTCCGAGCAAATCTCCACAGCGGGCAAAAGGGTTCTACCCAACAGATGGGCTGGGTAGGTTACAGATACTGAATTTTCATATTCTCTATTACTGAAGTACTTTAGATTTCTATATTATGGAATCTCTTGCTCATGGCAACCACCACTGGCATTCAGAGGGTTGCTACCTCTGTAGATGGACACTGGCTTCCTCTTTTGGGGAGGGGGCCATTATGTAACCACTGGGCCAACACTTAGCTGTCCATTGTGCTGAATTGCATTGGCTCTGTTTGGTGGCGCTCTGATCCTGCAAGGAAATAGGCATCAGAGGCATTTGGCTAGCAGCAGCACAGTTTAAATAATCATTGAGAATATATATGCTGCCCCTCCAGAGATTTGGTTGAGGAAGTTCACCAGTAAAAACAACAACAACAGAAAAAGCAAGCCTACAATTTTAAAAACAAGCCACCGTTAATTTGCTGTTCATTCTCCGGCTATACGTGTGAACCTTGCCTGCCACTCTAACGTATTTAATAAAAGTATGCGTGCACATGAAAGGTCATACCTTGAATAAACCTTTGTTGGTCTTAAAAGGTTGTCATCGGACTCTAAACTTCTTGTCCCAAATTTTGTGAGTATTTCGGGTTCTACTAGACTCTTGCTGTGTCCTGACTCACCAAAGCTCCTCCCCTGCCCCAAATGTTTGTTAAGTCCTAAAAGTGCTCCTGGACTCTTGCTCTTTCTACTGGTACAGATTAAGACGGCTACCTAAACAGATTCTTCCTAAACTTCACCTACCAGGGAAAACAGAACAGGAAACGCACCGCCTTGCAGCGCTTGCCCAAAACACAAGGAGCCTTAAGCGTCCGTACTGCGCATGCCCCCAAAACACAAGCAGCCTTAAGCGTCCGTACTGCGCATGCCCCCAAAACAACAAGCAGCCTTAAGCGTCCGTACTGCGCATGCCCCCAAAACAACAAGCAGCCTTAAGCGTCCGTACTGCGCATGCCCCGGCCTTTAAAAAAAAAAGACGGACATCCTGCTTCTGCGCATGTGCGTGTCCTCGGCGTTTTCCGGCCCCAGAAGGGCGCGGCGATTTCTGTGAGTGACGCAGGCGCCGCCCCAGGCCTTCCCTTTCCCATCATGCCCGGCGTCGAGTTGTGACCCGGAACCTTTCGCTCGCCCTCTCCGTCCCGCTTTCCTCGTCGCTCGGCAGCTCCGAGCGGGAGTGGAGGCCGATGGGGGTTCCCGCGTTTTTCCGCTGGCTGAGCCGCAAGTATCCGTCCATCATCGTCTCCTGCACGGAAGAGAAGGTGAGGGGAAGGGCCGTCCGGACTGACGCGGGCGGGGAGGGGCGGGGCCTGTGCGCCCGCGCCGGTGAAGGCCGGTTGCGAACTCCGGCTCGGGACTCCCCTGGAGGCTGGGATGAAGTGATCTCTTCAATGTTCCCTCTAAGCTGTGGAGCCCTGTGAGCAGAAATTCCACTTTCCCCCCCCTTCTCATTAACATTTTATTGGTAGGATTAAAACAATAAAACGAATATATATATATATATATAAAAAACCCAATAAAAATATACATAAAGGTCATAAGAACAGTTATACATTCAAACCAACACACTAATTACAAAAAAAGTAAGCTTTAAAGAATGATACATTCTTCAATAAATCTTTGAACAAAGTGACTTATTTTAGCCTCAGTTTGCAATTGATGCCTGTACTGTTTGTTGCTTTAGATACAACCAAGTGTCTGCTGCCCTCAAGGATATCTG